ATGTTGAACAGGGAGCCATGAAAACCACAGGAATTTTACTGATTTAGGGAAACATTTCCTCATGTAAAACATACTATCCACAGAGATGTACTTGATAGATTCAGCAAAGTCCCAAAGCCTTAGGAAAAAAATGGTCCATTCTATGGAAATTTCTACAACAATTGTCCACATAAAGGCAATCCAAAATGGACAAAAAATTATTTTCTATTGCAAACTAGTGTTGTTCAATAGAGTGGAAATATTACAAAAACAATAACAGCTTATAAGTTAGCCAAAAGGTTTTTAAACATTTCAGGTTAATCAAGGAACTTGAGTAAAACCACAGAAAACACTTAAATAATGAAAGCATTGTGGAATCAAAATGACAGTCTGTGAACTGACCATTTCTGTTGAGGATTATGTAGGAATTTCCACTTAATCAGATTGGATAAAGCCACTTCCCTCAAAAAAAAAAATTAAACTTTGCACTGGTGTGAATGGCTGAGTAAGGTGTAGATCTACGTAAAATTAAACCAATCATCTCGTATTGGTTAAAAATGTACCTTTGTGGTGCCACCACCAGGAAAAATTATTTAAATGTTTTAAAGCAGCAATCTTTTCTGTTAGCGCTTTGGCCCCCCAAATAATTTTGACAGAAATGCAGTCAAGATAAATCACCTAAAGGGATGAAGTAAATTGAAGACTGTCAGGACTAAAGTACAGTCACAATCCTAAATAAAGCTACATCTGCCATCGTACATCATTTTTGCAATTAGATAGCTAATTGAACTTACTCAAGAGCCAAGTTATTGAAACTCGGAAATGTTATTCGTAAAGACAAAGTCACTGAATGAATACCGTGCCTGTACCCCTCTGGGAGAAAAGGTTTTATTTCTTAACTCTCAGTTTTATTAAACCAAAGAAATTATTTTTATTATTTACTGCCTGATTAGGAATATATTTAGCAATTGCAGGAAGATTTTTGAAGACTGATGCCCTCCAGCAAACTACTGAGTGTGCAAACCACTGACTGCAATGGTGAAATTTTTCACACGTTGCTCTGTCACATTTCTTCAAACACCAACCACAAAAAATCTCCACACAGCTTTTATTTAAAGACAAACTGTCACTGCTTTCAGCAATAGTCTTTGCTCCTGTCATTTTATACAAGTTGTCCTTCAGCTATTAACTCCTGCAATGGAGCTTATACAACTTTCTTTGATGGCCATGATAGAAACAAAGTCTCTTTTCAAAGCCATCAGGCATGTATGTAAACGACCTAGAATGAAGTTGCAATCAGAGAGTAGAATAGGAATTCTGAAATCTTGAAATGGGTTGGAAAAAGGTAGAGCATAAGACGAAATAGTCTTGTCTAAGAAATAGTCCTGCATTTTGTTCTACAAAAAATAAAATAGATGAAGAGCCAAAACTGAAAGTATAAATCATTCCAGCCATTGATCTCTGCTCTAGAAATTAAATTAATTATTAAATTATTTGCTCCTTGCTATTTCTTTGGAATAATCTTTTATTACTTTTTTAACAGTACAATTTAAATGCTAGGTTGTTGGGTTTTTTTTCACCAAAAATATACCCTCTAAGCATAAGGACACTAAGTAAACGGTTGACCATTCCTATATCCAAGGTAAATATTTAATGGTGAAAAAGAAAAATTGCCACAAGAATCATGTTAAAAACCTGGGAATACACATTTACATAATTGAATGATTTAAATAAGAAAAGCTTATTAAAAATTTAAATAGCATTTGGTTTTAAAAAATAATCTATTAATGCCACTATGTAGAATCTAAACTACAGACTCTTAGGAAAAAAAAAGTACAGAAGCTAATTTTTACTAGAAATTGACTCCCCTCACTCTGCCATTACGGTGCACACGGTTGATGCTTTGGGTAGTAAGTCCTGTCTCCTGTTACACAATCACAGTGAAAGCTCAGTGAGCATATGTTCAGCCATGCCATTTTCTACTACATACTGAATAATGTTTTCTGGTTTTCTTTTAGATCAGAAATCTGAAAGGAGATGCTTCCAGATTCTGATCTATTCTGATTATGATTTCTGATCAAAGGAATGCTGCTGGTGGGGCCAGGCAGACCAGCAACATATAAAGCCCATGCTAAAGCAGGACAGAAAGCCAAGCAGGTGAGGAGAGATTCTTCAACTCTTTCACTCTACATATAATAGCAGTAAAGCAGAAAACATGGCTCCAGGGGACATGATGTTTGAATTGCTTCAGGTCTGAGCAATCCTGGTCAGTCTAGTACAGCTACTGAAATGAAGTTTCCTAAGCAGAATTCCTTTGTTGAAGTAGCCATCATGCTCTGTACTGAAACACTTATCCCTCCAAATTTCATGTGTGCTTCACTAACAGAGTCAATGACTAATGACTAGAGGCAAACCTCTAGTACTGATACATACAATTATGGAATGCCTTGGGTTGGAAGGGACCTCAAGGATCATGGAGCTCCAACCCCCCTGCCACAATTTGAATTTTCCCAGAACTCTGCTGCTCCATGTAACTGTGAAGTGCTGCCAGTTAAAAAGTACCTGCTGGAAAGGTAAAACAAACAAACAAACAAACAAAAAAACCTTCATTATCTACTTTTAAGTCTCTCTTTGGATCTCACCCTGATCATGGCTTCTGTTAAATATCAGAAAACACTTAGGCAGCCAATGTACTGTATCTACTGCCTCTTCTAATTCACTCTTCCTTTGTGATTCACCTTCTCCTGTTTGCTCTAGTCAATGCAGTTGCTGTAACACAAGCACCATGAGCTGAAATCACCTGTGTGCCACATGCTGTTCAGCACAGCAGGTCCTCAGCCTCACGCTAACTGAGACGGACACAAGAAACAGCAGAAAGCAAAGTGCATGTCTTGCTGAGAGGAAGGGGAGAGGAATAGCTGTCACACTTCTAGAAGTGCCTGCTACTGTGCCAAGTGTCATCAGGGTAAGAACTTAATTAGCAGAGGGTAGATTGATCTGAGATTAACACAAATACAACAAAGACACTGGTCCACATGTAAATAAATCCACTAAAATATAAAAATGTTATGCTGCTGAGGGAAAATACACTTCTATATACATTAGTAATTGCTCATAGTTGAACTAGTTTACATTTTAATTTTGTATCTTTTCCTTGTTCATTATTTTCAAGTTATTTTCAAGCAAACTGCATGAAAACATAACATGAATATTAGAATAGCACAACTCTTGTCAGAGAAGGAAGCCATGGATAATGAAAGAGGGCAGAGAGCAGAATGCTTTCTAGGTTCTCAGCAAAAGGATGTCTCTGGTAATGCTGAGCTATTCGCCTCTGAACACCCCCAAATGTTGCAGGTGTTCACATCTAAAAGCTTACCAGAGGCTTCTGGTACCTCTGGTACCTCTGTCGTTGGCTGGGTTATTCAGGAAGAGAAGATTAACAGACACAGCTTCCCAGCATGAATGACATACATGGAAAAAATTATGCCAAGGTGAAGGATTTCTGTAAAACTCATTAAGTAAAATACGGAGTAGTTGTTGACATAATGTTCAATGACGTGAGGTTCATAGTACACCTATTAAAATACTGTGTAACATTAGACTAATGCAAAGATTCATGTGTGAGGACACCAGCTGCCACCTGTGGGTTCCACATCTTTCTTATTGTTATTCACGAGCTATAGCCTGCACACCGATCACACTTTTTCTTCACTCACTACTGGAGTGCTGAACACAGGAGAGAACAGGATTCATCACACAGCAAACATCAAAAAGGAGCTTTTCCAGTTTTTCAAATTCTAAATGAGGAATCTGAATGAAAAAAAATGTAATTTTTCACTCACCTGTCTCCACTGGCCTGCAAATGCAAATGCATTCAATTATGAGAGTATTACAAGTACAAAATGTGATTGTACTTTTATTGTAATTTTTTTAAATTGAATTTCTGATTTTAACATGACTGTGATTCATCAGTACCATATGTATCTCAATTTGGAATTTTATAATAAAATCCTCTCTGTCCCTTAGTGAGATTCTGGAAATTGTTAGTGATGCCGGTGCAGTTTATTGGAGTGCTACAACTTATTCAAGTTTGGTTTACTTTAGTGCATCAGATATTGACAGGGAAATGCAATTATATATTATTCAAATGTAATGATATTGTTTGCACAATCATACAGCAAAGCTGTAAAAATGGCAAAGAGAAGTTTATAGGAACATGGCACACTAAAGCTGCATCAGCAACACAACTTCTTTTGTGGGAAATAAGTCTGAATTTTTTTTTTCAGTTTAGTCTTTTAAAAACCCTTCAGAAACGCCATCTGGTTATGGCCATTAACTATGGGAAGAGATTGAAAGGAGTGGCTTTACAGAAATATGACTAAGATACCATTGCACAAGACAAAAAGAACAAGAACATTCAAACCATATCTTACAGAGTAGTTTTTTTCTTAGTAAATACATATACAGGGGGAACAAGCCATAAAATGAAAAATAATACAGGGCTGGAAACCATTTAAAAATCTTATAACTCCCACAATGTTATCATTTTTTATTTTATTTTTTTATTTCTAATATATAAGGGAAGGTGTAGTACTTCTGAAATACAGCCCAATGCTAAAGAAATTAGATGTGAATACAGTGAAAATGACGGTATTGTTTACCATGGGAATACTATTTGCAGACAACAGGAGGGAATAGCATTTCTAAAACAACGGAGAAGCAATTCTGAGGCTGCTCTGTGTTTCAAATGTTTATATCCTATGTATTTATACTAATCTTTTCTAAGGTTGGTGAGAAATAAATCTCATCTTCCTTTTTTTTTTTTTTTTTCTTCCCCAAACTACGCATGGTATATGTGCTAACTTACTGAATTCATCCTTCATGCAATTCCAGTTTATTAAAGAGGTTAAAAATTTATAAAACTCTGATGGGATATGGTTTTAATGCTTCATCACACTACCCATCATTTGCTTTTCAATCTAGATCAGAATGATCTTTCCTACTTCCCTGCAATCACCTACCTGCACAGCTAATATTTTCTGAGCGTTCTCCTGAGAGGCCGCCTGGATCCTCGCCAGCCCAGCCTGGCCATGGAGCCCGCGCAGCCTCAGGTACGCCGCCAGCGCCCGGCGCATCCTGCTCTGCAGCACCCACAGCTGGAACCGGGCGGCGGGGGTGGAGGGGGGAGAGAGAAAAGGGAAGAAAAAAAAAAAAAAAAAGCCCAAGTCAGAGTAGGAGAGGAAATTAATGGCGGTGTTCAAGAAGAATGATGGAGGGAAATATAGAAAGCAGTCAATAGCCCATTCTGCACTGTACGGACCTGACAGGAATTTCACAGTCTCTTGACTTTCCAGCCCACTCATGTGCATTCATCAGAAACCAGTCACATCTGGCTGCCAGGATGGGGGGTTAATTTTCTCTAAATGCCTCAGCAGTTTTGTTCTAGCTGAAGCAAACTCTGTGACTGCAAAGCTGATGAGTAAAATATTTCTACTTCACCCAGTTTAACTCAAAACCGATAGCCTTGGGACATATTGAACCTTTCTTAAAAAAAAAAATAATCTTTTGAAGCTTTCTGAATGGCACATCAGGTCAGCACAAAGTTTAAAATGCACGTTTAAGACTTTGATGGACACAAGGGCTTTTTTTTTTCCTTTACTGTGTAAAGCTTATCACAGCTTGGCAATGTGTGCTTTAGTGCATGACAAAACTAAAGAGAATTAACTTAGCCATCAACTACTCAGGGAGAACAATAACAGGAAAGAAATTTCCAGATAGAACTTCCTATTAATCTACCTAGCTATAACCACGTGACATGAAAGCATCTAACAGCACTAAATTACACCGAGTGCCGCAGCTGAGAGTGACGCTACTTAAAAAAAGCATTTTCTAAAGATTCATAACAAAGATAACAGCTATGGTAGGAATTGCAATCATTGCAAAGAATTCTTGTTGGTAATATTCAGAGTAGTAATACTTACCTGATAGGTTATTGCTTTTTGTTAGCATTAATTACTGTTACAACGTGCAACTCAGATCTGTATCAGCTTTTCCTTAATCTGCAACTCATAAAACACAGTGTTGCAGGTCTCAGGCCAGAAGAAAAATATTTTAATACAATCTGAAAATTTACCAACACCAAATATTTTTGAAAGACCTGGAATTTTTTGGTAAATTTGGCAAAAATTGCTCTATACTCAGATCAGCTGGAATTCAGAAAAATGGAAGATTTAGCTAGCTAGCTTACTGCTTAGTGAAAATACAGGGTTTTGAGTTCCATCAAGTCAATTATTTCAATAAATGGCGTAGCTATTGTTAGCACGAGGCCTTCAAGCTGGATTAACGCAACAAATTGTACTATTCCTTCAGAAATATTACATTTCATTAAGGTCAAAGCCAGAGGTCAATAATCAGATCAGTTATAAAGAAGCTTTTACATGATAAGATATGACTAGTCTTTAGGATCAAGTGCACTGTACCAGGTGAAAAATACACTTTTTCAAAAGAACGTGGATTATAGTAATATCAAGTGAGCTATTACAGCCTAGAGAGTAATTAGCTCACATTTTCAAAATTAATGGCCTGATTTTCAGAGATATTGAGTTACCACAAGTCCTGTTAGATTCTATGGAAGTAGTGAGTACTCTGCATCTTTGTAAATGAGGCTGTAAAATATTTAAACAGATCTTTGTATGTAGGTTGTTTTTTTGGGTTGTTTTTGTTTTTTTGAGTGATGCCAGTGCATATTAGAAATAGCACAGTGAAATGCAGAGGAACTCAATAAAAAAATATAAAATATCGATCTGAATCACAGCCAAAACTTGAAATGAAATAAGAATGTTTTTCAGTTTGAAGAAGATTTTCAAAGAGCTAGTGCTCATTTTCTCCTATATTAATATTTATTTCCAGAAATAAATCTCCAGCTGTCTTTGGGTCTGTTGTTAATTCAGCTATTTTCAGTTCTCATGTTGTTTGATAAGATGCTGGAGTCACAAAAAAAATGTGGATGGTAGAGGAGCAAAACAACTTGTGACATTTTAATACTACAATCTGCCTCAGTCCAATAGAAAAACTGCTTAAGTAGAAAACTATCTTTGGATTATCAAATTTCCAATTTTTTGTAAAAATGTGAAATAGTTTCCAAATACATTGTCATTATGAGGAAAACAGAAATTGGGGGAGCATGTCAAAAGATTTGTCACTGGAAGGTGAAAGGGATCAGTAGCTATGCAGTTCAATTTCTCTCCAGAGTTTTGTCTTGAGAGAATAAAAAATGTGTTCCATAGTTTTGAGGTTTGACTATTTGAAAATTGCTATAATAATTACTGAGAAACTGGCAGTTTATAATGGCTAGTGTTCAATAAGACCTTTGCCAATGCTTCTCATTTCAAAGAACCAACTAACTCCTTGCAAATTACAAGCCTGATAGCTGTTGTTACTATTTTAGATGTCTTGCACCTAATGTATTTCTTATTTTGAATATATTTTATTGTGCCTAGTATTGTGGAGACCAAACTCAATATTTATCAATTTTACAATATTAATTGCAAGATAAATAACATTGCAGTACGCGATCAGAAATATGTGCCTATTTTGGAAAGTAACAGCTTGATCAAATGATGTTATGCGAAAACTTCACATAGACTGGTAGACTCACTAACCCAGGAGGGGAAACATAAGTTTCTAAGGCAATTTCAGAACCATAGCTATTGGAACAATCTAAACCAGAAAATTCTGAGTGGCCCAGCTGAAGAGCACTTCTACTCCAAAATCAGCCTGTAAGTTTCCTAGATTTGGCCACTGACTCTGTATCTACAGATACAGGCAGCAAAACTTTTCCCTTCAATCCTCTTTTTCGTCATACAGTACAGTTGTTAGCTTTGCCTTATGTTTTAAATTGTTATCATATGTAGAGACTTACAAAGTCATGGCATGCATGAGTTGCATATATGGCATTACTGCTAATCCTTCATTTTTAATTGCTTTGTTTCACTATTTTAATTATTCATAAGACATATGAATAAACACTTATAAGGTGTCTGATCTAGTAAAACAGCAAAGTTCTGAATTAGATAAAAAATAGTAGATACTAGAGTAGATCTAATTTATGAGACATTATAGGCAAGACCAGGATGCTACCTGTCTCAAAGGAAGATTCATTTTTAATTCTATCCAACATTTAATATTTGATCAAAAACATACACTTCTTTTAAAAAAATTACTGATGTTACCTTTATTAGACATAATAAGCAAAAGGGACTGCAGTCTCAAAGTGGGTGATGTTTTTGTATATGACATGACAACTTCATAAAAATCACCTGAAATAATTATAGGTCTATGGAAAACTAATGACTGCAAACAGTCACAAGCAGATTTTTCCATTTTTCTCAACTAAAATTTTTAAAGGCATTGTTCCTTGTAAGCACTTGTGAGCCTCTTACTGTTCACAGTCTTCATCAGACTGTGTATGAATCTTGCCAAGCAAGTGAGAATGCTTACCACTAAATAACTCCACTATGTACATAAACCAACTCCAGAAAGCAATTTCTTGTGTATCAGATCAAGAATATAGCAACAAAACTTATTTTCTTTATAATGGCTGTTACTAAGACATTTAAAGATTTAGCAGAAGATGAAGTTGCAGCCATAGTAGGCAGCTAGATCTATTTATCAAGGACTGAAAAAATTTGTGGACATTAAAATGAAGAAGAAATGTACTAAGCAGCAGCAAAAATGGAAAAATACACATAACGGAAGCAGATGAGAGAAACAGATGGGCAGAGGAGTCTCACTAGACTCAGCCCACCATCAACACCATATTTTGATGAAATATTATGAACCTAGACCATTTAACATTTACAATAAACAATTGAGATATCAGCCATACATAAAGCAATCCAGAAGCTAAAAAACATCAAGGCAAACAACAACGATCACATCACCAAGAAACAAGCACTTGATCCCACCATTTAAATTAACACCAGTCAGAGAAAAAAGATCCCTCCCCTTCTTCCTGCAAGAGAAATGCTTTGCAGCGCAATACTCCACAGGAGGTAAGATGAAGCTGGACACAAATCTCAGTCTGGATTAAGCTGATGCGAACATGAATGAACTAGAGATATTCACAGTAAGAGCCATCATAAAATAATACACTAAATGCAGTACATCACCAATTTTCAAAAACTCTTGGAAGCTTATATACACCTGCAGTCACTTACTGGGCATGAATCAGATTGGTGCTGCAAAAGCAGGGAACAATGGAAGATAAGTGTACTGTGATGAACAAGGATCTTGATTGTAACTGCAGAAACGTCTCATATTTTTATGGCTGCCACACTGAACTCTTGGCATGTTAACCAAATCATTTAACTCTAGTTTTTCAAGATGATAACTGGAAGGGGGAAGGGTTGCATCCAATTTAAGTCCTACTTTCCACAGCTGATTAGCAATGCCATATTCACCTAAAGACAGCAGGAAGACCTGAAATCATAAGTAGAATTCTATTAAAGCACAACTCTGGTTTAAACGCAGAGAATATAATTCTTTTGACATGACTCTTGACTGACACTGGTGCTACAGAAATCTGCCTTCTGAGTTCAGTGTAATACTATTTCATAATTCTGCAGTAATCCCTCTTAACATAAGACATTCATTTATTACAAAATGTAATAAACCAAGACGTAACTAACAGAAACGTTAACTACCAGTCATTGCTATCACCTGGTATGATTTTCAGATCTATGTAAGATACCACTGCATTTCAAACAGAATAATGTCACTTTGAAATGTACACTTTCTCTATTTTAAAATGATGCTAATCTTAGATCAGAGGACCCAATATGTGTGTGTCATATTAATTCAATAGTGCACTGCGAATGCTAAATTCTATGTAAATGACATAAGCCTTATCAGTTCCATTCATTGTTACAACTCAAACAACAGCAATTACAACAACTCTACAGATTTTGGCACTGGAAGAATGGCAGATTTATTAGCAAAATCCAGTTAATATTTATCTTTTTATACTGTTCAACTACCAAGATACACCTGTACAATATACAAAGCTTCTAGGTAATGAGATATTTCTTTATTGTCAAATCTGCTCCACAGACTGCTGGTAAAGATTACATAGCTCATTTAAATAAAGCTCTTTTGT